TGAAAGATCTGTTTTAAGTAGTAAGGTTTAACCATAACTTCCCAATCCCAAACCTAGGGAAGTAGTAGTCCATCTCCTTGTAGCTTGTAGTGATGGACGTGTGGCAAAGGTTCGGAACATAACTTAATCTAATTTGGAAATTGAAATTGCACACTATTTGGGAATCTTTAAGGTGGATCAAACTATTTTGCTTCACCGGTAAAGACAATTATTTTTAATTGTTAGATTAATTTTTTAACAGTTAGATATGACTATTAGAAATTTAAACCACTATTTCACTCAAACTATACAGTGATTTATAACTTTGATTCAGGGTTTTGTGAAAGAAACTTCTTTATTTCCTTCTTTTAAACCGGTGGTTTTCTCAAAATTAGACCAGCAATTTAATTTATTATTATTATTATTATTATTATTATTATTATTATTATTATTATTATTATTATTATTATTTTACTCTACAATTGATTGATTTGATTTTATAATATTTAATCTAAAATAAACCAGTGGTTTAATATAATATTTAACCTAGTAATCCTAGTATGAAAAAGGAAGAAAGGAGACAAATATTTCTTAGAGTGTATATGAGTTTAAATTTTTACTCCTTATTCTTGATTAATATACTTTTAGTCAAATAACTATATTACTTAAAATAATATTAATAAAGAATAAGACATAAAAGTTTAGACTCATGCACTCTAAGTATAGTTCCGTAATTTTCTCTAAAAAGAGTGACGTAGTGGTTTAATCGATCAGCAAGTAAAACAGTAGTTTAATGGTGGCATGGACTTTATAACTCATGAAATGGGTACACATGAAATTAATAATAGAAAGTGGTTTAACTAATATAACTATGTCTTAATATAACTCTCTTAAAAAGTGGCACTCAGCCTGATTTTCTCAAAATTCTCTTTGTAATTTGTGGTGTGATCTTCCCATATAATAATAATAATAATAATAATAATAATAATAATAATAATAATAATGAAAGTGGTTTAACTAATATAACTATGTCTTAATATAACTCTCTTAAAAAGTGGCACTCAGCCTGATTTTCTCAAAATTCTCTTTGTAATTTGTGGTGTGATCTTCCCATATAATAATAATAATAATAATAATAATAATAATAATAATAATAATAATAATAATAATAATAATAATAATAGTAATAGTAATAATAGT